CCATGGAATCACTATATTTGACTTCGTTTTTTCACTAAAATTTGGATTTTCGAGACCAGTGAAAAGGCTTGCTAATATATCTTAAAGCAATGTTATTATTTCAATTTGGGACTTGATGTATATTATAAGTGATGGAGACATTTTCGAATACTCCAGATGAAGACACGTGTCCTCGTTGTCATTAACCTTCTTATCGAGATCACTACCCATCGGGTCACAAGTCCCCTCTCCCCGAGGGGTACTGATCATGGGGATCGAGTGGCATCCAGTACGTTTTTATGTACCGACACATACCCTCGGTCTGATATGGTACATCGGTCGCTAGGCCTCCCCCTCTCGCTTTAAGATGTACCTATTCCTCGGCTTCGAGATGTACCTATTCCTCGGCTCCGAGATGTACCTCTCCTCGGCTCTGAGATGTACCTTTCCTCGGTACCGAGATGTACCCCCTCGTCCAGGATGAAGTTCTCTGCTCCAGCAGAGGCTATTGATGCACTGGTCACTAGCCTAGGCTAGGCTAGGTTAGCTATCATGACCTCGTCTTACACAATTGGTGTCAGAAGGCACAGGAAGGCAGGGGCCACAGCCAATGGGAATGGACGCGTGGCATATTGTGTCACATCAGAGACAGAAAGACCGCATGACCTTGCTGACACGCGACTTGGAAAACAAGCATTTAATTACATCATTCCCTTGATGAGACTGCATTCAATGCGGTAAGGCTCGGAAGTGAAAGACAATAAATGTCTCTAAGGCTGGGCATTTATTGCATCCTCCCCGAGAGGAGCTCATTGAACCGTCGGCAGGCCGATGACACAGTCTTGATTGCTCGGGGTCCCGAGCAGTTAAAAGAGAAGACATTCCTCATAGGAATCAGTGCGCACGTTGCCTGTATCTAATGATCACCTACTGACCACACTGACAGCAATCATGAGTATTTGAGGTATAAATACTCCTCACTAAAGGCAAGGAAAAGAGGTGAAACTTTTGCTACAAATTATACTCAGTGTTTCTTCTTCCTCTCTCTCAAAAACTGACTTGATCGTCGGAGGGGATACGCCGAAAACACTCCGGCGCCCTTCTAACTTGTTCTTCTTTGTTCCAGGAACCTTTCTTCAGCCTTACTGGATCGTTCCTTTGATCCGCGAGGGTCTCCCATTACCGTTCCAGGTTACCACCGGATCTCACAGGCTGTTCCAAGCAGCGTGGTTGACCACTCAACTGACTCACTCGAGTTCACCAAGGGAGAGATCTGTTCTCGTTTTTATATTGTGCAAGATCTAGCACGCACAATCTGGCGCCGTCTGTGGGAAACGACTAGTTTTCCTAGTTTTTTCTCTATAAAGAACAGTGACCATGGTGAACACTCGACAAAAAGGGAAAGGTCCCCACCAAAGAAGTCTCGAATTACAAGCTCCCTGTCACCATGGAGGGAGGGATCACACTGATGGGAATAAAAATGCCTCTACTCAGTCAAGAGGGGTTACCCCTCAAACCAGTATGGGAATCAGGTCAGGAGGATCAGCCCCCTTGGCTCGTCAGCTGGCGGAGGTGATCGAAGAAAAGTTTGGCGATAGATTACGACAGCTGGAAAAGGACAATATAAACGTCCTAAGCCGGCTCAACGAATTTGCCGCCTCCGGCGAAGGGTCGAGGGACTCATTCCTTTCTCGTGGGTTCCCCGCCCGGGAGGCGGAAACGAAGGATCTAAGGAATCATTTAAACAACAAGGCAGAAAGCTCCAAGGCCCCAAAGCGACCGAGAGCCAACGAGCACCCTCCTAACGACCATTCAAGGAAGGCAAGACCATTAGCCCTGGACGACCTCCGGCGAGGATTGTCTAGACGGAGGAAGGGAGATGAGTCCGAGGAGGATTCTACCCTATCCACACGGCGCCCAGGAAATGGGGGGCCTATTGATGAACTCAAAGACTTCAGAAGACATCCCGTCAGGGAGGAAATTGATCTCAGAGCCCGGTTGGAATCCAGGAGAAAGAGTAAGGCTGTCCAGGATGAGGTCGAAGACGAGGTCATACAAACACCCTTTACCAGGGAGATCGGAGAGATGGAGGTTTCAAGAAAGTTTGTCGTGCCGAGGTTCAAAACTTATGACGGGCGGTCCGATCCCGAAGCCCATCTCAGGCAATACAAGCAGATGATGTCCCTCTATCATTCGGACCAACGGTTCCTCTGCCGAGTGTTTCCTATGAGCTTGGGGGACTCTGCGATGAAGTGGTTCGAGGCGCTTCCCCCAACAGTATTGGATCGTGGAAGGAATTGACGAGGCAGTTCCTGGCTCGATTCATTACGGGGAGTAAGCGGCCCAAAGACGTTGGATCATTGCTAACGCTCAGACGTAGGGAATCCGAGACCCTTCGCCAGTATGCCATCCGATACTGGGAAGAGGTTAATGAGGTAGAAGGCTGCTCGGAAGTCATGGCAGCGGCGTCTTTCAGGCTCGGCTTGGCGAGGGACACGGACCTGTACCGATCCCTGACTAAGAAGACTCCCTCGGATATGGGCGAGCTGATGGCCCGGATAAACAAATACTCAAGGATCGAGGACGAGATGGGAAGCAGCAAAGGCCGAACCCTCCAATCTAAGAGAAAAGAGAGGGAGCGGGAGGATACTCCCCGAAAGGGATTGCTACCCCCTCCAGGGGGGTCGTCCAAAGGAGTTCACACTATGTTCAAGGAACCCATCTTCAAGTTGCTCCATAAAATCAAGCATGAGCCGTTCTTCAAGTGGCCGCCCAGGATGCAGAGCGATCCCTCCACCCGTGATCAAAAGGTTAGGTGTTCCTATCACCGGGATTTCGGACATCGCACCGAAAGCTGCAGGGTATACAAATCGTTCTTGGAAAGATTGGTCCGAGACGGATACTTGAAAGAATACATAGAGCCCAGGCCAGAAGAGAGACACACCCTTGCCCCGACCGAGGAGCCGGACAACGTCATAGATGTCATCCATGTATGTCCCCTGGATCGCCCCACGTCCAAGGAACTCGAGTCCGACCTCAAGAGGGTAGCTTTTACAAGGAAGGTAGCCGAGGATGATGGGGGGCCACCCAGTAAAAGGGCCAGGACTGGTGAGCCCAGCATCACGTTCTCCGACGCGGACTTGACAGGCGTAGTGACTCCTCATAACGACGCCCTTGTCTAACCCTGAAGATAGGTAAATTCGACGTAAAAGGGTGTTGATAGACTCTGGAAGTTCCTCGGAAGTGATGTACTCCGAGACTTTAAAACGGATGGGTCTTGGCCTCAAGGACCTCACCAAGGTCAGGACACCCCTCATCGGATTCAACGGCTCGTTCGCCCTGCCCGTAGGCAAAATCACATTGCCAGTTGTCACGGGTCCCTTCATCATCAACACCGAGTTTGTCGTAATTGATACGGACTCTCCCTACAACGTGATCATGGGACGAACATGGCTGCATGCGTTGGGAGCGGTGCACTCCACTTACCACCAGAAACTAAAATTTGTCACGCCAGAAGGTATCATGGAGATCCGGGGGGACCAAGCGTCCGCAAAAAATTATTTTTATTCAGCTGTTAGAGCCGGGGCGTTCACCCAAGAAAAGGGGCGAGCCCCGGAAGAGATCATGGAGAAATAGCAATCACAGTCCGGGCGTCCAGGAATGGATGACCCCCGGATAGACCCAACTGAGCGGTCGGTGGAGGACCTCCGGAAGGTGCCCTTGGTGGAGGGAGAAGAAGAAAGATATTTCTTAGTTGGAACCGCGATGCCCGCAGCCGAACAGGAGGAGATGATTGAGTTCCTAAGGGGAAATGCAGACGTGTTCGCTTGGAACGCAATGGAAATGACGGGGGTAGACCCCGAGATAATCACGCACAAGCTGCATGTTGACCCGGCACACAAGCCAGTCAAACAGAAGCCACGACGCATGGCCCCGCATCACGCCTGCGCGGTCAACGAAGAAATCGACAAACTCCTGAAGGCCAACGCCATTCGAGAGATACAGTTCCCAGAATGGCTGTCTAACACAGTTTGCGCGAAGAAGAAGGGGGGAAAATGGCGTGTCTGCGTAGACTTCACAGATCTAAACAAGGCATGTCCCAAGGATGACTACCCCCTACCAAAGGTGGACCAGCTAGTGGACGCCACTGCCGGATATGAACGCATGGACTTCCTGGATGCCCGAGCAGGATATCACCAGATCCCTCTCCATCCCCCAGATCAGGAAAAAATGGCGTTTATCACTCCGAAGGGAGTTTACTGTTACAAAGTGATGCCGTTTGGACTAAAGAACGCCGGGGCGACATACCAAAGACTGATGAATCGGATGTTCAAAAAGCAGATCGGCAACACCATGACGATATGCTGGTGAAGAGCAAACGAAGTTGTGATCATCTGGCAGATTTGGCAGATACCTTCTCCACCCTCAGGGAGTACGGGCTGAAGCTGAACGCGGCAAAGTGCATTTTCGGAGTGGAATCGGGTAAATTTCTCGGATATCTGGTCAGCCAACGAGGAATCGAAGCTAACCCGGATCAGATTCAAGCGATCCTGGACATCCGGAGCCCCCGAACTGTCCGAGAAGTCCAAAAGCTCACGGGGATGCTAGCAGCACTTAACCGTTTCGTCTCACGCTCCTCAGACAAATGCAAACCCTTTTTCGGAGCAATCAAGAGTGCTGGGAAGGATATGTGGAGCCAGGGGTGCGAAGACGCCCTGGCTGGAATCAAGGAATACCTAAGGACTCTCCCGACCTTATCCGTCCCTATCCAGGGGGAAATGCTCTTCTTGTACTTGGCCGTGTCTGAATTTGCGGTAAGCGGGGTACTTATTCGTGAGCATGAGCACCGCCAGAAGCCGATTTATTACATAAGCAAGGCGCTCCTGGACGCAGAGACAAGATACCTGCCCCTAGAGAAATTGGCTCTATCCCTGGTCACCACTGCAAGAAAACTGAGGCATTATTTTCAGGCGCACCCAATTACCGTCCTTACCGATCAGCCCTTAAAGGCCATTTTGAGGAAAGCGGAACTCTCCGGAAGGATTTCCAAGTGGGCAGTGGAGCTGGGGGAGCACGACATTCATTTCAAACCTCGAACCGCGGTAAAGGGTCAGGTATTGGCGGACTTCATAGCTGAGTTTTCGGGGGAACATCCCGTCCTAGAAAGACCGCCTCCTCCCGACATAGCGTCTCCAACGAATTGTGAAGGATCGCCATGGCTTTTGTGTGTGGACGGTTCGTCAAATAGTAAGGGGTCCGGGATCGGTATCTTGCTGATTTCTCCGGATGGGATGGTCGCAGAGCAGGCCGTTCGGCTGGGATTCAAAGCGTCAAATAATGAAGCTGAATACGAGGCCCTCATCTCAGGACTTCGGTTAGCTGAGGCAACTGGAGTTACGGACTTGATCGTGCATTGCGATTCCATGCTGGTAGTCAACCAAGTTAACGGAGAGTTTGAGACAAGGGACCCTAGAATGAAGGCTTACCATCACCAGGCGACAACTGTAATCCGAAGATTCGGAAGGATTGAGATCAAACAAGTGTCCCGAGACAAGAACACGCATGCCGACGCCCTGGCTTGTCTAGCCTCGGCAGTGGAGTCCTCTCAGTCGCGCAGGATCACCATAGAATATCTTCCCGCATCCTGCATAGACCATGCTCCCGAGGCAATGGCCGTCCAGGATGCACACAAGCCGCCCAGCTGGATTGATCCCTTTCTCAGGTTCCTAACAACAGGAGACCTCCCGGAGTGTCCAAGGGAAGCAAGGAAGATAAAACTCAAAGCCCCGAGATTTTGGGTCTCTCCGGATCAGAAGCTGTATCGGAGGTCTTTCTCAGGACCGTACTTATTATGCGTCCAAGAGGACCAGGTGGAAGACCTTCTCTATGAGGTGCACGAAGGAATATGCGGGGGGCACTCTGGGGGGCGATCGATGGCACACCGCATCATGTCTCAGGGATATTGGTGGCCGCGAATGCAAAGAGATGCGCGCGCATACGTCCAGAAATGCGACCAATGTCAGAAGTTCTCCCCTGCAATCAGGCAACCCGCGGGGGACTTGCACCCCCTGACCAGCCCTTGGCCATTCGCCCAGTGGGGACTCGATTTAGTTGGACCCCTGCCTAAGGCTCCTGGAAACAGGAAGTTCCTCATTGTGGCCACAGATTATTTCACCAAGTGGGTTGAGGCGGAGCCGTTGACTCACATCCGTGACATAGATGCTAAAAAGTTCGTCTGGGAGAACATAGTCATCAGATTCGGGATTCCCGGGCACTGGTGTCGGATAACGGGACTCAATTCACCGACGGGCGTTTCAAGTCTTTCTGCGAGCAACTCAGAATCCGTAATTTCTACTCCACCCCTGCCTACCCCCAAGCCAACGGGCAGACAGAGGCCTCCAACAAAACAATTATCAATGAAATCAAGAAGAGATTGGAAAAAGCCAAAGGAAAATGGGCAGATGAGCTATTAAACATTTTGTGGGTGTACAGGACCACCCCTCGATCCTCGACAGGAGAAACCCCATACTCCCTGGCTTACGAAATGGAAGCAATCATACCTCTCGAGGTAGGACTCCCGACCATAAGGACCCAAGCTTTCGACGCAGGGGAAAATGACCGTCAACTTGGACTGAATTTGGATCTAGTGGAAGAAAGAAGGGAGACAGTCGCCTTGAGAATAACAAGGTATCAGGAAAAGATTTCCCAACTGTACAACAAAAGGGTCAAGGCGCGAGAATTCTGAATCGGCGATCTGGTCCTCAGAAGGGTAACGGCCAATACCCGTGACCCAACAGAAGGGAAAATGGGACCTAACTGGGAAGGGCCTTACAAAGTGATATCTATCGGAGGCGCCGGGTCATATAGATTAGAAGATATGGATGGAAAACTTGTAATGCGACCGTGGAATGTGATGAATCTAAAGAAATATTATTTTTGAGTATTATCTCCCTCAGTGCCTGCCTTCGAAACAAACACATGAGCAAGCCTCCTGGAAAGGCAAGGCCCTGGAGACAGAGTTCAAGGACTCATGCCTCTGAAACAAACACAGGAGTAAGCCTCCTGGAAGGGCAAGGCCCTGGGGACAGAGTTCAAGGACTCTGCCTCCGAAGCAAACACAGGAGCAAGCCTCCTAGAAGGGCAAGGCCCTGGGGACAGAGTTCAAGGAGTCTTGCCCCCGAAGCAAACACAGGAGCAAGCCTCCTGGAAGGGCAAGGCCTTGGGGATAGAGTTCAAGGACTCCTGCCCCCGAAGCAAACACAGGAGCAAACCTCCTGGAAGGGCAAGGCCCTGGGGACAGAGTTCAAGGACTCCTTCCCCTGAAGCAAACACAGGAGCAAGCCTCCTGCAAGGGCAAGGCCCTAGGGACAGAGTTCCAGGACTCCTGCCCCCGAAGCGAACACAGGAGCAAGCCTCCTGGAAGGGCAAGGCCCTAGGGACAGAGTTCCAGGACTCCTGCCCCCGAAGCGAACACAGGAGCAAGCCTCCTGGAAGGGCAAGGCCCTGGGGATAGAGTTCTAGGACTCCTGCTCCCGAAGCAAACACAGGAGCAAGCCTCCTGGAAGAGTAAGGCCCTGGAGACAGAGTTCGAGGACTCTTGCCCCCGAAACAACCACGAGAGCAAGCCTCTTGAAAGGGTAAGGCCCTGAAGACAGTTCAAGGAATTCTACGCAAAAAAGTGTACGCAAGAAAATATTAAGTACTCAAAAGCTTTATTTCAAAAAGAGGGGCTTTGCGTCCCCAAGAGCTACAAAAAAAGAAAGAAAAGTACAATCGAAAAGAAAAAAGTTTTTCATTTTGCCCCGGGCATCTCCAAAACATCCGCCGAGGGCGAATCGGCATAGAAAGGTTGAGCAGCTTCGGGAGCAGGCAGAGTGAGAGGTACTTTGGCAACAGAGAGACCCTGAGGAATATTATGATCGGGGGCCTGGTCCGGCGGGGCCTCATCAAAAATCCACTATTACCGCCTCAGGCAGATCTGCCGAAACTTGCACCGGCGTTGGAATCTCGCCCT